GGCCTTGAGTTTGACACATGTGATGTAATGTCTGAAAGTAAGAATAAGTAAGAATGTTGTAAAATGTTGCAAAATGTTGCATATAGAATGAAACTTGGACGACTGAAAGGCTGTCTCATATTTAAACTTTTTGTAGTTTTAAAAGACATTCAGGCAGAAACCTGTAAATTGCACAGTGTTGATGCCCTTAGTGCCTGTCCTTGCGACACAGGTCAAAACACCAGCAACATTTATTTTATTGTTAAACCAACGCGTTGCAGCCTTCATCTGCACCTTCATCATGAAACACATTACAAACAAACATGACTATGTAGCAGGCTGACACTGAAATAAAATATAACAGGAAATGCAAATTACATTCCAGCAATCTCATAGTTGTCCAAAGATCACATCCTTTTCTCCTGTATGATCTCCAACTCATTTTTCATGTAGAATACAACCACCTACTGTATCTCACCTTTTGAATGAATTCATAGCTGTTTGTCCTGACAAAGTGCATATGGAACTCTAATTAAGTTAAAGTTCTGCATTATAACAAATAAACACTTGAATGCCCACACACACTCACACTTTCATTAACTAGTATATTCCCATGTAGCACATTAAATGATCCCAGCTCTTCAGGTGTGTAGTGCTCAGCTCTAGATGCTGCTGTGAGACAGCAGGAGAACACAGCCTCCTGAGCTGTAAACCATCACTGTATAAATCAGTTTTTCACCTAACAACAAAATCCTGGTTTATAGGTATCCAGCCTTTAATTTGTTCAGTATTGGAGAGTACAAGCACATGAGGTTTTGGTCTATCCCAGTCTTGTAGAAACAAATGCAGATTGTCAAAGATTACAGAGCATGATATTTCCACATTGGTAGATTTTCCACCATGTATATTTTTCCTAAAGAATTTCTAGTTCAGTCTTGACTGATTTGAACACATCCTCTTTGTTTATTTTCCTGAAAAAAAGTGAAACACTTTTATTCTGAGTGTTGCAATAGTTTGATGTGTGAGGCTCCATTTAGGGGCAGTTCAGTTTATGTGGGAAACTGCCACTACTGTCGTGCCTGTCGTTACTAAGCAACCAGAACCAGCAGCCTGCATGATGGTGATGATGTTGGTAATTTAGCAGTAAGCCCCACTGACTTAACTAATTAACAGTCAAAACAAAGACATGTGGATTACCAGCTCCCCTTACAGGAGCTCTACTGCTTGATTTGTGAGGTGTTCTCAGTTTGGCTGACGGATTTTGTTACATCCTTGCACAGCAAGTCCTGTAGAAGCCATTGGTTAATTCTTGCCACATGGTGCAATATTTCCATCTTGGACTCGTCGTACGTCGCAGTTCAAAATCATGTATTTGAGCATGCAAAAGACGCAACATCTGATTGCCCCCCCCTAACAAGATTGGTTCTCTGTTAACAGAGTGTACAGGTTCAGCGCTCACATTGGCCCTCATGTAAGAACATTTTTGTATACTCCTCCAAACACTATTACTTTTTTTGTGAATTGCTTGTTTCAGCCTGTGAGTGCCACCTGCTCATGAGCAGTTGGCCATTTGTGAGATTTAATTATTGGCATCAGTGCTCCACTATTGGCTCGCTGTTTCATTCACAAAAACGTTACCAAAAAGTAAAAGAAGACAAACCCATAACAGATTCAGCAGCGTCAGTGGTGGTATTGCATGACCCAAATCAGTTAGAAGATATTAATACAGCTGTCCACAACATGTTATCAGAGCAGCGCTGTACTGTGCCAGATACATAGAGGGAATGATTTGACATGAAGTTAGAAACTAAGAAAACATCTTCTTTAAATCAAGACCCTGAGGCAGCTGTCGGAGTGAGAGGATTTTCCAGCAGCTGTTTAAGTTGCCCAAAGATGTCAATAACAATCATAAAATGTAAAAAAGAGAACCCCTTAGTTAATTGGAAAGCCTTGATGACGATGATACAATGAACAGAATATTACTTTTTCATTCAGTTTATTTTAGTTCAATGTAAAATTTGGTATTTCAACTGTTGAGAAAAACATACTATCTGTACTTGACTGTACAACAGGTCAGGGCCATGCATGGATTTAGTTCATAACTAAGATTGAATTCTAAGTATGAAAAAATTATCATCCATTCTCTCCTTGCTAGCTGTAAAGTGGTTCCCTCATAGAGCAATTACATTGTCAGAAATGGTACTTGCATTTTACAAAGTACATTCTGAGGTTCAACTGAAGCAGGTACAAGGTTTCTGTAGACAAGAGTGTATTTTCAAAGTCAATCGACCCTTCCTAAGTCCCGCCCCTTTTTGCTCTGCTAAATAGCAGTTGAGCAAGCCTCGGTCAGATTTCTACTTTCCTGTACTTAGGTCACGTGCAGACTGCAGGCCAAAGAGACCCAAATCAGATGTTTTGCTCATATGTGACTCAGATCAGTTTTTTCATGACAGTGTGAACAGCAGAAATCCCATGGAATCTGATCTTTTCAATTCTGATTTGGGCCACTTTCTAATGTGCTCCAAATCAGATACCTGACCTGTTACTGGAATCTGATATGGGCCACATTCAGAATATAATGTGAATGGCCGCACATAAAAAATCTGATCTGAACAACAAATCTGGATTAAGCGCTAAGGCTTGCAGTGTAAATGTATCCTAGATATGCTATGTTCTAGGCTAGTCTATGTTGAAAAGACATATATATTTATATATGCCATAACATTCTGAGCACTGACAAGTAAAGTGAATAACACTGATTATCTGGTTATCATGGCTCCTGTCAGTGGGTGGGATATATTAGGCAGCAAGTGAACATTTTGTCCTCAAAATCTGGTTAGCAAATTGCTAGCTAAAAGATTTATCAACATAGAGAAGCCTAGCACATAGCATTTCTAAGTATAGGAAATGATAAAGTTGACTGAATTCCCAAAAGGGGTGGGACTAAGGGGCAATTACATGAGAATTACATGTCCTAAAAAAGATGATTCGAACTGCTGAAACCTCACATTGGCTTCAAATCAACTTATATTTTATTTTTGCAGAAGGCTGTGGATTTCGTCCTCCATCTTCTTGTTGTGACAGTGTTGTCACTCTATGAAGGGATTCACAGCTATTACAAAGGGGAAGAATGATTGCAGCAACTGTTGACTCTTTCTATGAACTGTGTATGTGGCATGCAATCCAAGCATACATATTCTACCAAAACAGCAGATCAGCCAACGTTGCCAACAACAGTGATGCTCACCATGCAGTCATCGTACATAGACACAGTTTGTCTCGCTGTTTTTCTGTTCTCCTGCTCCCTCTGCCTCTCACACATCTACACACACACACACAGTGACAACTGTAATTGCGAAATCATATTGTCAGGCCATTTCTCCACCACTGTCCTCCCCCTCCTCCCTCGATCCATTTAGTTCACTATTTGACATTTTTGACGTGATTCTTTTCTCTGGTTTTATTGGGGTGGTGATTTTGGGATAGATTTTTTCCAGTGACTGCGCAGATAGCCATGGGGAGGGGCTGCCTACAATACAAATGGCCTGGCTTATAGAAATGGCAGATGGATTTTTTTCTTCTTGTGTGTGTAATTGAGGGAATGGCACAAGGGGGCAATGTGGGTATTCATACAGAGGGAAAGGTTTATCTAATGTTGGGAATGTTGCACAGAAATGGACCAGATGTGTGTTCATATTTGGATTACTTACTGTATATAGTAAGTTGTTGCGGTTAGTTTTAAAGTGAGGTCCAGGAACCTTCAGAATCCTCCAGAAGAAGTCACCAGGAAAATGAGAGTTAAAGGTAACTTTAGGTCTGAAGTTTCCATACACTTGTAGATACTGTTATTATGGGATTCCAATTATTTATACAACAAACACAAAGTGATTGGAAATGCACTTTTTTATCACAAAAAATAAAAAAGTGCTTCCTTTAACAAATGAATTGTGTTTCAAAGAAATATGACCAAATCTAATGGCTGGGGCCTTATGGAGATTGACTGACTGCTGGAGCCATCCTCAAGTGGCCGTTAGAGGAACTGCAGTTTTTGTTAATTCATTGTTGGCTTCTTTTGCAGCCACAGAGGTTACAGCTTATTGACCACTTTTCTTGGCAAAATTATAACAATTTAACTTAAAGTTTGTTTTCTTGTATGGGCTGTACTGTATTTTTTAATGTGGCTGAGGACAGAACTTTGTGTAGGCCATTCCAACAGTTTATTTAGCTTGATTTAACCATGTCATAACCCCTTTGATGTGTGTTTAGTAGGGATGAGCAAGTATGCCGTAATCTGTGTCTGTTGAAACAGCTAAATTATTTGTGTTTGTGTCCGTACTCGGACAGATGTAGTTGGTGCTTAAGCCTGGCAGAAGTTTAAGCCTGAAACTGATATGAGTTGATCAGAAGTTGCTATATTAATAGGGAAACTATTTACAGAACAGCCTCAGAATAGATCTTCAGAACCATATTTTTGATCACAAGAGTAAGAGAACTATTCAATTCAATTCAATTCCATTTTATTTGTTTGGCACCAATTCATAAAATAAGTTATCTCAGGACACTTTTCAAATAGAGCAGGTCTGGACCGAACTCCTTATAAGTATTGACAAATTATATTTAAACTTTTACAGAAATTTATTGCAAAAGTGATACACTGAGGGTCACACATTGCATGATGATTTTTCAGAAGAGCCTCTAGTAATCACATCATGATAAGACCTGCTGTGATTTTAGCTGTTACTCTCATCAGTAGCCATTTCAATCCTACACCAACCGCGACTAAACTTTCCTCCATGTCTGTGTTTCTATTTGGGCTCCAACTAATGAAAACCTGCAGACCTCCTGGGTTAATCTATGGAGACTGTCTATAGCAACTGCTTCTTCTCTCTGATCCACCAGGCCAAGTTTGACACCATGAAAAAACAGATGGAGTCCATGGAGATGGAGGTGATGGAGGCTCGACTCATCAGGGCTTCTGAGCTCAATGGAGAGATGGATGATGACGACACAGGTCAGACACACTCCTCCACACCCACACCCACACACACACACAATGTGGACAGAATAGCAAAAACGCCCCGGCACAGCAGTAATTACCAAACTGCTGAGACTTGTGATGTTAATTTTATGTCACTTTAAAAACTCACTCATAAAGATGCTAATTGTCAGACAAACCTGTTGGACACCCACACAGGTTGTTGGCTGATTAGGTGTCTCCTCAGGACTGTGTGGAAGTGTACAGGATCAAGCCTGAGTGACAGTTCTGAGTGACAGGGTTTTGTCACATCTGTTGTGGTGGAATAACTTGTTATTGTGCTATAAAAGTGCTATAAGCAATATTTTTGTTGAAATAATGTTAAATAGACTACCTCCCTAACAGCCATTACTGATATAGAGTGTCCAGTCAGAAACATAGGTTTCCCAGTTCTCTCAGTAGGGCTGCAGCTATCGATTATTTCGATTCAAGTATTATGCTGATTATGCCGTTAATAAAACAGCCTTTTTAAATGAAAAACTAATTGGTTTCAGTGTCTCCTCCTAAGTCAATTTTCCTACCCCAAAGCTGTATTACACAAGCATCCAAATTCACAAAATCTAACTTTATATAACTGTTTAGCTGTCCTAAGCTTCACATTCTCCACCACGTACGGCTGCCCTTTTATTACTTTTACACAACCTCGAAATGAATTGTTTATCTCCTGAGTTAGCAGCTATAAATTCCCTAAAAAGAACATATTTAGATTTGTCTACAGATGTTGCCAACACCAATTCAATTAAATTCAATTTTATTTGTGCCAGTTCACAACAGAAGTTATCTCAGGACACTTTCAAATAGAGCAGGTCTAGACCGAACTCCTTATAACATTTACAGAGACCCAACAGTACCACCATGAGCAAGCGCTTGCGACGGGGGCAAGGAAAAACTGCCTTTTAACAGGCAGAAACCTCGGACAGACCCTTCGGCTCTAGGTGGTGGTCGTCTGCCTCGACAGGACAGACAGATGCACAGCAACAACAGTAGCAACAACTTCACTAATACTAGTGACTGATGATGATGAACATTAGGAAGATGATGACGACGACAGCAACGGTGGGGGACAATGAGCAGTGACAATAGTAATAATAGTAACTGTAGTAATATTAATAATA